TCCTCCCTTGTCTGCCGACTTCTGGTGCAAGCTGGGTCTCCCGGCTCGTCTGCTGAGAAGGCATCTCCTTGGCGGCTGTGATGTCGTTCCGGATCCTGTGCCTCCTGCCAACCCCCTGTTGTCTAGGTCCCGCTGCTTTGCTTGGCTTGTCCCGATTGCCTCCTAGTGCTATCTGCCTGCGGCGGTTTCGTTGGCTTCGATGCCTTCAAGAGTTCAGCACTGCAGTTTTGCCGGTGTGAAGTCTTAAGACGTTTTCTCGCCTTTCCATGACTGTCTTTAAAGAGAAAGAGTGTGTACTTGCAATGAGCAGTAGATAGTGTTCGTTAGGACACAGCTGCGGTGACATCTCATTCCCTAAGAAGATTTTTGGCCCTAAATCTGCTTTAAGCAAAAATAACACATGAGAAGGGAAAAAGAAGGATCTTGATCTATGCATGTTTTGCTCGGTGAGTTCATCAATGAAAATTTTCGCGGGTTCGCTGGTGACACTTGGCAGGTGCTTGATTAAATACTAATTGCTAGTTCTGCTCCCAGACAGGTGTTTGCAGTCAGGTGGGAGATACTAGGAGATTTTCTCTCATGCTTAATGCAAAGTAGTTTTTTTCTTTTTCACCTAGTCACAAAAATCTACAGTGCTGCGTTGTATTATTTTCTTTAAAAAGCGAGCAAGCAATCTCAATGTTTAACCAAAGGGAACACTTTGGTGAATATGATACATCCACTTGGTAGGTGCTCATGCCATTATTAAAACGGTGGCTACTAAAACCATTATGGAACAAATTATGGTGCAATGTTAAGAGGAGAAAAGCAGAATGTAAAATGACACGTTGACTGAGATTTTAAACACTTTAAAAGTTGTATGCTATCATATAGACACATTTTCAGAGGGTGGATACAGAGGCTGAATCCAATGGCTGGTCAAAGACAGCCCTCAGGAAGGATTGATCAAATGCAGGACTGCAGTGGCTGGTTCTCAAGGCCTAAACCCAAACTAAGTGAGCACCAAATGCTTCTGAATATGAATGAGTATGTTTTCAAAAGAAAGAGATCGACTCTAGGTACAGTGCTGTTCACCCGACATCCAGGTGTCAAGAAAGATTAATTTGCTCCTAGCCAGTGCCTTCTCTTCCACTTCTTGTTTCTTCTGATCAAATGCTTTCGATTTGGGCTCTTCCCTCTAAATTTATTGCACAGATGATGTTTACCAACAAATTCATGTTGTTTGTGCACCTCCAAGACGACCCGGGCTCTCTGGTTAGGCACACTGACTGCTGCCTCATGACATCTGTCTGTGCCTGGTGTTGAAAAACCAGTGTGCCCACATCGGACCCGTGGCTGGCTTCCTCTTTTCCCGAGTATCTGGGAATGAAATCAGCAAAAACAATGGATGGGTTCTCACGGATGCAGAGTCCGGTCGGTAGCTCAGACAGATGAGCTGGTGACGGATTATAGTGAAGGGCCCTGGCATATTGTCATAAAGTCACTAGTCTGTTCTGTGATGAGTTGGAAATAAAATCCTGCTGCTTAAAAAAGAAAGAAAGAGAAAAAGAAAAAAAAGAACAGGTTACCCGTTTCTTGGGTTTCGAGAACCCTGCTCCTAAGGGGCTGGGGTCCATGACTGGGGGTTTCTCCAGTTTGGCTTCAAAAGAGGAAGTTACTTCAGCCTTCCTCTTCTCTGGCACCTAGCCTCATTTTCTCCTCTCTCCCGTCTCCCCTCCTGCCCGTTCCTGCCCTCACATTTAGGGGCTATTTCTTTCTTTCTTTTTTTTTTGAGTTGGAGTCTCACTCTGTCGCCCAGACTGGAGTGCAGTGGCCGCCCCCGGCCACCGCAGCCTCGACCTGCTGGGCTCCGGCCATCCTTCCGCCTCAGCCTTCCGAGTAGCCGGAATTCCAGGCGCGCGCTACCACGCCCGGCTGATTTTTGATTTATGGTAGAGATGAGGTCTCGCCAGGTTGCCCAGGCAGGTCTCGAACCCGCAGGCTCAGGCAACCCACTCGCCTCAGCCTCCCAAAGGCGCGGGATTTCAGGCTGAGCTATCGAGCCCGGCTGGGGCTATTTCTTGAGGCGACCTCTCACTGAGAACTCTTGGAGGACAGTGCAGAGGTGTGGTTTTCCCAGCCTCCCTCCTTTACTGACTAGTGCAGCCATGTCAGCTTAGAACAAGTAGGAAGGTAAAAAATCAGCAGCCACCTCAAATCTTCTTCCTTTCTGTTTCTGCAGCAGTAGAGCTGAGATGTCGCCGTTTGGAGATGGAGATGTCCAGCCTGAGGAACTGTTAAAAGTCTGCTCAGATAAGCTGATCTTAGCCCTTCCTCTCTCTCTTCCACATTTGTGCCTGCCAGCTGACATCTGATTGGCATGCCTGGATGTGTGTGTGCCAGCGGACATGCCCCTGAATTTTCATTCATGTTGGCGGGGGAGGGTCCCTGAACAGAAGCATGTTGTTGAGATTTGACTAACTCCTTGTCTTCCTTTCTTTTCTTCCTGATGTCTCATCTTCTAATCTGAAAGCCAGAAAACCACAGTTTTACCAGCACTAAATGGGGTATAGAGATAATCTGGCTTTTCCTCCATTTTCTAGATGAGCAAAGAGATGCCCAAGAGCACTGCTCAAGGTCACCTATCTGTAAGTGGCAGCTATGGGACAAAATCTTAGATAACTTCAATCCCAATCTGGTGACCTTTTCGTCATGTAATTACGCTTACTTGACTTACTGTCTTAACTCCAGATGCTTCTAAGATGCTATGCAGGAAAAGTCCAGGTTTCCTTCATAGCTTTGTCCAGATGCCATCTCTTTCAGAAAGATTTTATAGATGGACCAGACATTAAGGGAACTCTGCAATTGCTCTTAGCATGTTTTAAAACCATGCAAAGCTTTTGCAGTCTCCAGTCCTGCCAATCACTTAGGATTAATTGTGTGTGTGTTTTACCTCCCTAAGGGACTATGAAAGTTACTCGAAAGAAGCAATCTTGTCTTTTTAATTTTTGTTAGTTTGTTAGTCTCATAATGCCTGGCACAGTGCTTGGCCCTGGTGGATCCTCGGTAAGGTACATTGAACAAATGAGTTAGAAAATAAATGGACAAACAACGAACCCACTGGAATGGTGCCTTTGTTCCCTCTGGAGTGGAGCTGCTGCGAATCAAAATGTGATGAATCTTGGGGGGCTGGGAGCTTTTTGTGAGTTATGGGGAAATCTTTCTGTCTCTCTGGCTGAATGAGCAGTGATAACATTAAAACTGCAACCTTGGAGTCACTAGCAGTGATTTAGGGAGTACATTCATATGGGCTCTCCAAAAATAAATCAACTAAATTGCTGCCAATAGCCAGTCAGGCAGAATTGCCCCTCAACAGAGCAGGTTTCTGGTGTTTACCTGGCCAGGATGCTGATTGCTACTCAAAATTACTCTAGCATTAGGGTTCATGGCCCGGCTTGGGGCTCTTGCCATCACCATTTTCTCTTTGGGGAGCTCCCTACCCAACGAGGGGAGGGGAGAACCAGCTCATTTTTCAGTCACTGGTCACGGAAACCTGGGACAGCTACCCCACTTTCAGGTGTTCCCTACAATGTGGCTGATTTTTTTCCCCTTGGATTTCTTCGCTTCCTCAGTTTTCTTATGGGAGAGTCAGGGTCTATGGAACTCAAACACTCTGACTCAAACAGAACTATGGAAAACTCTTTGGATAAGAAAAAC